CGCAATGGAGAAAAAGGATTCATGTAGCCGACCCCACGTAGTGGGATTAAGGCTTTGTTGTTGTTGTTGTTGTACTGTTGTCTCCAATCGAGCCGTTGCATTTTGTTTCTTAAGTCTCAACAATCCAATGAGCCGAGTTGGTTAATACTTGAACTTGAGCTTGACATATTGAGCAATAAGAATGCCTCGAGCTTGTGACTTGATAGGCTCAATTTGTGAGCTTGTTATCAATTTGAGCTTGAGCCTGCTTACGAGCTAGTTTGGATCACTCACACCTCTATTGGGGAGACTCAAAGATGGTCGAATTGTATATGGAAAGGTCGAGCTCTTGAGTGCAATAGAAGTGAGGGTAGCAGGGCTAACTTGAAATGGGATGGTGAGGGCTTGCTATTTATGAGCGATAGAGGATGTTATGAACACTTAGGAGGAAAGGGGTTATGTTTAGGATGAATGTGGAGGGCTTACTTTTGGTTGATGCCTACAGGGGGGGAGGTGTTTAAGGGGTTGCTGAAGGTTGGTAGGAGGTATGGATGATTTGGATGTGGAGGAAATGGACTATGGTGGCTTTGGATATGAGGAAAATTTTCTAGCACACCAATGAGGTATTTGATTTGCAAGGAGCCAAGATCTTGTGGGATTATTCTTGGTTTGGAGGAAAATGTATGATGAAGGTTATGGTGTGAGAATTGGTTTGGGAAGTGGTGGTACAGCGCAAAACTGAGAGCTTGCTAGCGTGAGGGTTTTAGCAGAAAGCAAAATCCAGAAAGCAAAACCGAGAGGGGATGATAATGCTTGGTTTTGCTAGAATGGATGAATATGAAGAATAGGGTTTGATTTGGGAAGCATATAGGGTAGAATGAAGATACCATTACTGAACGTTGAAACTTACGATAACATAAACTCAAATTTCACCAAATGATTGATATGATTTTTGGCCACCAAGTCATGATTCAAAAGGAAATTAAACACTTCTCCAAATTTTTAACTCAAGGTTACAACTGAAAAGCTTAAAGAAATGGATAAGTGGGGAATCGATAACAAAAAAACCTTATTCTAGTCAACATAATTTTTTTCATGCAAGCCACCCTCACGAGCATCCCCAACACATTTCTTTGCTAGAGATAAACTCAGAAGAATTTCAACTTGACATTAAGTTTGTTGGTATTATACTATCATGTCCGGCCTTTTATTTCCTAGTCTAAATTTTGGAAATAAGATATCCTCATGAAGTGTAGAGCTCGTTCAGAGTTCTGCTCACGGCATAACAGAACATGTGATCATCCAAGCCATCCGCTCAGTAAAATCCCTGCTTTTCGAATACCAGTATATGATCATAAATGCATAACTGCATTTTCCTTGCAACTGCTTGGAACACAGTAGAGCTATATTTCAAATCTTAAATTTACTATGCAGAAGTCCCTACATGCTTAAATACATAAATATTTGGTTTTCAGACTAACTCCTTGCATTCTACCCTAATGCTAAATGCTTCCTAATAATGTTTTCTCAACAGACCTGCCAACTGGACTATTTACCCTCAGACAGATTAAAACAGCAACCCAGAATTTCGATCCAACAAATAAGGTCGGGGAGGGTGGTTTTGGTCCAGTTTACAAGGTTATCTCCACGTTTTTTTTCTCTCTTTATCTGCATTTTTATCTATATCTATATCTATATATACATATGTGAGAAAAATGTCAAAATAGTCTCAAAACTCTTTATAGGGGGGCCACTGTAGTCTCAGGGTTTATAAAAGCGTTAATTTAGTCCCCAAATTTTAATATATGGGTTGAATTGGTCCGGTCCCCAATGAGGATTATTTTAGCTCCCATTAAAACAATCCTGGGACTAATCTAGAAGTTTTATAAACTCTAGGACAAACATGACCCAATTTACATGGCCAGGGGACTACTTTGACACTTTACATATAAACGGGCATTCACAAACATAGTAACCAATTTCTATATTTGTACATATATAGCACCTAAAATTTAATTTTTACATTTATACCACTCAAATATTTCTTATCACAGAAAAAATATCACTATTTTAACTTAGAAAAAATGAAATACACTTTCTTATGCATAGATAATGTATGTAAAAATTGAAATTTATGTGTTAGAAATATAAATGCATAGACATGGAGTGTTATGTTTGTAAATTTTTTACACACACACGTGTGGTTGCTGCTGAATATATCCTAAATCATTACCTTTTTAACACTCTCATAGGGTCTCCTATCAGATGGAACAGTAATTGCTGTGAAGCAGCTTTCATCAAGGTCCAGACAAGGGAACCGTGAATTTGTAAATGAAATTGGCATGATCTCCGCTCTGCAACATCCTAATCTTGTAAACCTTTATGGATGTTGCATCGAAGCCAATCAGCTTTTGTTAGTGTATGAGTATATGGAAAACAACTGCCTTTCACGTGCTCTTTTCGGTAATCTTTTTTTCTGAGTAAAGTGTCAAAATAGCCCCCTAATTGTTTCATGGGGTCATTTTAGTCCCAAAGTTTATAGAAGTGTGTACTCGGACTCTTTAAATTGGGGCTGACGTAGACATATGTTGGGACTATTTCAACTTTTATTACAAGAATATGGATTGACAGCTGTTTAAACTTCACCCCCTACAAAGAGCCAGAGGATTATTTTGACACTTTTCTTCTTTTATTCATATATTTTAATCATAGATTTTATCTGTGTTTTTGGAATGCGGTTCATATTGGATTACTTTTTATAGGAACAAATTCACACTCAAGAATACATTTGAATTGGCCAACTAGGTACAAAATTTGTGTTGATATAGCAAGAGGCCTCACTTATCTCCATGAAGAATCCAGATTGAAGATCGTCCACCGCGATATCAAGGCTAGTAATGTGTTGCTGGATAAACATCTCAATGCTAAAATATCAGATTTTGGGTTAGCCAAGTTATATGAAGATGATAGGACTCATATTAGCACCAAAATTGCCGGCACCGTGTAAGTTCTCATACATATATTTTCTATCACAAAGAATTAGTTAATGCAATAATTTATGTTATACTTTTCGGTCATTCTAAACCTACAAATTACCTTTTGTAAAGCCATGCGAACCTGAATGGTGGGTATCATAGCTATTCTTCATCATAACCAACACTAACGTTATCCTATTAATATCCGATCATTTTAATGCCTTAGTATATAAAGGTGTCAAATTAGTCCTCAGACTCTTTTAAAAAGGGCTGAAAATAGCCGTCCGCAGGAATTATTTCAGCCCTTATTAAAAATGACCTAGAATTAAATTGACACTTTTATATACCTGGGACTAAAATGTACCATTTAAACACTTTTATTAAATTGACACTTTTATATACCTGGGACTAAAATGACCTTAATAAGTTAATGTACCATTTAACACTTTTCTCATTCTACTTTATTGTACTCTCCTCGCTCTATTTTGTTTTTTATATATACAGTATAAATTCATTCATATACAGATGACATTTTTCGCATAATTACTGTCAACTCTATCATTTCATTTATTATTCCATGTGATCTGCTTGTTTAAGTGCTAAAATATTGCTGTTTACCAAAAGTTTTACCATGATTATATATTCTTGTACCTGATCATTCAACCATGATGCATGCCTGAGATCTGATTTCTAGTGTTAGCAATGTAATGATAGCCATCTCCTGCTCAAAACATACAAGTATAATGATTTGTGAAATTTAAATCTTTTTTGTCACTTGCTGTATTTATTTAGGATCATTTTCATACATTACACCACCCAAACCCTATGTGTTTACATATCTAACACCTGAACTTTGCTTTTCTCCATTTATGCCAGCCAAAATTTTCATATCTCATAAAAAATACCACCATTTTAACTATTAAAAAGTGAAATACACCTCTTAATGCAGGTGGTATGTATTTAAAAATTGAAGTTTAGATGTTAATGTAAATACATAGGAATTGAGTGGTGTGTCTGTAAATCTTCCATGTATGTAAATGATACCAAATAGGCTTTCTTATTTTTCATCATGCAGGGGTTATATGGCTCCTGAATATGCAATGCGAGGTCATCTAAGTGAGAAAGCAGATGTATACAGCTTCGGAGTGGTTGCTTTAGAGATCGTCACTGGCAAAAGCAACACAAATTACAGGCCTAAGGAAGAGTTTGTTTACCTCCTCGACTGGGTGACTCTCAAATTTCACTGATTTTTAACCAAAGTTTTCTATTTTAATAAACGAATAATGCTTTCTTCATGCTACCAACATTATAAAACAGGCCGTATATATATTTTCACCCAATTCTTAAGTATTTAATTATCTAACAACTAAAATTTATATTTAACATTTACACTATTCAAATCTTTCATATCATAACAATTATTTCATTTATTAAAACTTTTATTTACAATTATTTCATTTATTTAAATCACTACTTTCATTTATTTTTCATTTAATGCAGAACAAAAAAACAAACGAGTTGAAATCATAAAACAATTATTTCTTTTTCTTTCAATTGTAAAATATGTTTTTAATGTCTAAAAAAATATAAACATGTAAATAGTATTTAATCACTTTAACTTGTCAAAGATCTCCTCATAAGCTTAATCTTCATCTTTACTTTCTCTTACTATCACCTGCTCTTTATGATTTTAAAACTATTATTTCTCTTACCATCACCTCCACCAACAGAACCAAATAAATTTATTATTATTATTTTACAATTATTATATAGATAAGTTGTCATATATGTAAAAAATTAAAGTTTCAGTGTTTTATATGTAAATACATAAAAATTGTGTGGCATGTATGTAAATTTTCCTTAACAAATGGAAGGTTTACACATGTCCCACTCAATTTCTATGTATTTACATATCTAAACACTTGAATTTTAATCTTTACATACATATCATCATACCTATCCTTGACAAAAGTTGCATTAATTTTGCTTTTGAAAAGTAAATGATGATATTTTTGATGTGTCATAAAAGATTTGTATGCTATAACGTAAAAAACAAAGCTTGGGTGTATAAAATGTTAATACATGAGTATTTGGTGGTATGTATGTAAATATGCCAATCTTTCAACCTTGTTTGGGATCGCAGGCCTGTGTTCTACAAGAAAAGGGAAAACTTCTGGAGCTGGTGGATCCAAGGCTTGGATCCGAATACTCGGAGGAAGAGGCTAAACTATTACTGAACCTCGCCATCCTCTGCACAAACTCATCTCCTTCGCTGAGACCAACCATGTCAAAAGTGGTGAACTTGCTCGAGCGCCGCACCCCCTTGCAACCACTACTCCTGCTCTCGAGCTTCTCCCACAGCAGCAATCATGGCGTCAGAAGAAATTTCTGGGAGAATGATCCCATTGAAATCCGGGAGATCTCTGCGGATTCATCTGTAACGTCATCAGTACCAGAATTTGATGAAAATGGCGGCCTAATTGATTCGGATCAAGGATTTCTAAAGTCATACTACTTGGCAATAACGAAGAACCCCGAAGAGAACTCATTCGAGGCAGAAGATGGGATCAGAGATGATCGCCAATAAGGAGCTGCAGAGAATTTTGATTTTGGAGCAGGTGCGTTTATATAAATACCACCTAATTCTTATGTATTTACATATTGCATCAAAAAATATCATTATTTAACTAAAGAAAAAAGTGAAATATACCTTTGCATGCATAGATAAGATGACATACATGCAAAAATTGAACTTTAGGTGTTTAGATATGTAAGCACGGAAGAATTGAGTGATATGCATGCAAATCTTCCACAAAGATGGAAGATTTTAATGGATACCACTAAAATCTTAAGTATTTACATGTCTAACTCCTAAACTTATATGCCACTTGTGCATGAAAATGTGTATTTGGCTTTTCAAAAGCTAAAATAATGATATTTTTTTTT